GCCGCACACCTGACCCGAGCAAATGGCGCCAATGTGTTTCCAGGACGAACCCTCTCTTCAGAAGCTGTGGCCTCGGGGTTCGCTCACTTATTTGGAAGCAGCCTGGAAGCACGTTGACATGAATATGCTGAGCACACTCGGCCCAAACAAAAGGGCGCATGAACATCCGAACAGCTGACCCCGGTCTACGCAGATCGTGGTAACACTGTGTCCACCAAGTGATCGAGGCTTGTCCACACCGAGCCCCCCGCAAAAGCGCAGCCCCGGCCCCGTCTCCACACACCTGCGGCGAATCCACCCAACTTGCCATCCACACGCATCCAATTGACAACGTGCGCGGCCCTTTCCACAAAGTCACCAGTTGCCATTGGTTGCGAATGGGAAAATAGGTGGAGAAACTAACGAACCCAAGCAAGCTTACAAAGCAAGTTTGTGAAGGCCACGTGCACGGCTCCATGTGAACAGCCCGGCGTTCCAGGCACGCCAAAATTGTCCTTTTTGCCGCACACCTGACCCGAACAAATGGCGCCAATGTGTTTCTAGGACGAACCCTCTCTTCAGAGTCTGTGGCCTCTTGGGGTTCGCCCTACTTATTTGGAAGCAGCCTGGAAGCACGTTGACATGAATATGCTGAGCACACTCGACCAAACAAAAGGGCGCGCGAACATCCGAACAGAGTCCTATTTTTTCCCAAAAGCGTATACAAGCTGTGACGACGGAGATAAGAAGGGATTTCCATTTCGTTGTGCTGCAGACCGGGCGTGCGATGCCGGCTGGGGGTGCAGACCGGGCGTACGAGGCTGGCTGGGGGGACGGCGGTGTGGGGCTGGCTGGTGGGACGGCGGTGTGGTGCAGACTGGGTGCGCGCGAGAGAGACTGGCGCGCTCGTGACATGCGGAAACCGCCCGCGAGCGAAAAATGGTGACATGCAAAAACCGCCCGCGAGCGAGACTGGCGCGGTGGACGCTCGTGACATGCGGAAACCGCCCGCGAGCGAGACTGGCGCGGTGGAACATGCGGAAACCGCCCGCGAGCGAGACTGGCGCGGTGGACGCTCGTGACCTGCGGAAACCGCCCGCGAGCGAGACTGGCGTGGTGGACGCTCGTGACATGGAGAAACCGCCCGCGAGCGAGACTGGCGCGGTGGACCCTCGTGACATGCGGACGGTGGAACATGCGGAAACCGCCCGCGAACGAGACTGGCGCGGTGGACGCTCGTGACCTGCGGAAACCGCCCGCGAGCGAGACTGGCGTGGTGGACGCTCGTGACATGGAGAAACCGCCCGCGAGCGAGGCTGGCGCGGTGGACCCTCGTGACCGCACGCGAGCGAGACTGGACTGGCGCGGTGGACGCTCGTGACATGCGATACTGGCGCGGTGGACGCTCGTGACATGCGGAAACCGCCCGCGAGCGAGACTGGCGCGATGGACGCTCGTGACAGGCGGAAACCGCCCGCGAGCGAGACTGGCGCGGTGGACGCTTGTGACATGCCGAAACCGCCCGCGAGCGAGACTGGCGTGGTGGACGCTCGTGAGCGGAAACCGCCTGTGAGCGACACTGGCGCGGTGGACGCTCGTGACACGCGGAAACCGCCCGCGAGCGAGACTGGCGTGGTGGACGTGACAGGCGGAAACCGCCCGCGAGCGAGACTGGCGCGGTGGACGCTCGTGACATGCGGAAACCGCCAGCGAGCGAGACTGGCGCGGTGGACGCTCGTGAAATGCGGAAACCGCCCGCGAGCGAGACTGGCGCGGTGGACGCTCGTGACAGGCGGAAACCGCCCCGCGAGCGATGCTCGTGACATGCGGAAACCGCCCGCGAGCGAGACCGGCGCGGCGGACGCTCGTGACATGCGGAAAACGCTCGCGAGCGAGACTGCGCTCGTGACATGCGGAAACCGCCCGCAAGCGAGACTGGCGCGGTGGACGCTCGTGACATGCGCAAACCGGCGCGGTGGACGCTCGTGACATTCGGAAACCGCCCGCGAGCCAGACTGGCGCGGTGGAACGCTCGTGACATGCGAAAACCGCCCGCGAGCGAGACTGGCGTGGTGGACGCTCGTGACATGCGGAAACCGCCCGCGAGCGAGACTGGCGCGGTGGACGCTCGTGACATGCGGAAACCGCCCGCGAGCGAGACTGGCGCGGTGGACGCTCGTGACATGCGGAAACCGCCCGCGAGCGGAAAAAACCGCCCGCGAGCGAGACTGGCGCGGTGGACGCTCGTGACCTGCGGAAACCGCCCGCGAGCGAGACTGGCGCAGTGGCCGCTCGTGACATGCGGAAACCGCCCCTGAGCGAGACAGCGAGACTGGTGCGGTGGACGCTCGTGACATGCGGAAACAGCCCGCGAGCGAGACTGGCGCGGTGGACGCTCGTGACATGCGGAAACGGTTTGCAAGCGAGACTGGCGCGGTGGACGCTCGTGACATGCGGAAACCGCCCGCGAGCGAGACTGGCGCGGTGGACGCTCGTGACATGCGGAAACCGCCCGCGAGCGAAACTGGCGCGGTGGACGCTCGTGACATGCGGAAACCGCCCGCGAGCGAGACTGGCGCGGTGGACGCTCGTGACATGCGGAAACCGCCCGCGAGCGAGACTGGCGCGGTGGACGCTCGTGACATGCGGAAACCGCCCGCGAGCGAGACTGGCGCGGTGGACGCTCGTGACATGCGGAAACGGTTTGCCAGCGAGACTGGCGCGGTGGACGCTCGTGACATGCGGAAACCGCCCGTGAGCGAGACTGGCGCGGTGGAGGCTTGTGACATGCGGAAACCGCACGCGAGCGAGACTGGCGCGGTGGACGCTCGTGACATGCGGAAACCGCCCGCGAGCGAGACTGGCGCGGTGGACGCTCGTGACAGGCGGAAACCGCCCGCGAGCGAGACTGGCGCGGTGGACGCTTGTGACACGCGGAAACTGCCCGCGAGCGAGACTGGCGCGGTGGACGCTCGTGACATGCGGAAAACGCCCGCGAGCGAGACTGGCGCGGTGGACGCTCGTGACATGCGGAAACCGCTTGCGAGCGAGACTGGCGCGGTGGACGCTTGTGACATGCGGAAACCGCTCGCGAGCGAGACTGGCGTGGTGGACGCTCGTGACATGCCGGCGAGCGAGACTGGCGCAGTGGAGGTGGACGCTCATGACATGCGGCAACCGCCACGTGCGCGGCTCCATGTGAACAGCCCGGCGCTCCAGGTACGCCATAATTGTCCTTTCTGCCGCACACCTGACCCGAACAAACGGTGCCAATGTGTTTCTAGGACGGACCCTCTCTTCAGAGTCTGTGGCCTCTTGGGGTTCGCCCTACTTATTTGGAAGCAGCCTGGAAGCACGTTGACATGAATATGCTGAGCACACTCGGCCCAAACAAAAGGGCGCATGAACATCCGAACAGCTGACCCCGGTCTACGCAGATCGTGGTAACACTGTGTCTCAGACTTGTTTCGCCCACCAAGTGACCGAGGCTTGTCCACACCGAGCCCCCCGCAAAAGTGCAGCGCCGGCCCCGTCTCCACACACTTGCGGCGAATCCACCCAACTTGCCATCCACACGCATCCAATTGACAACGTGTGCGGCCCATTCCACAAAGTCACCAGTTGCAATTGGTTGCGAATGGAAAAATAGGTGGAGAAACTAACGAATCCAAGCAAGCATACGAAGCAAGTTTGTGAAGGCCACGTGCACGGCTGCGTGTGAACAGCCCGGCGCGCCAAAATTGTCCTTTTTGCCGCACACCTGACCCGAGCAAATGGTGCCAATGTGTTTCCAGGACGAACCGCTCACTTATTTGGAAGCAGCCTGGAAGCACGTTGACATGAATATGCTGAGCACACTCGGCCCAAACAAAAGGGCGCATGAACATCCGAACAGCTGACCCCGGTCTACGCAGATCGTGGTAACACTGTGTCCACCAAGTGATCGAGGCTTGTCCACACCGAGCCCCCCGCAAAAGCGCAGCGCCGGCCCCGTCTCCACACACCTGCGGCGAATCCACCCAACTTGCCATCCACACGCATCCAATTGACAACGTGCGCGGCCCTTTCCACAAAGTCACCAGTTGCAATTGGTTGCGAATGGGAAAATAGGTGGAGAAACTAACGAATCCAAGCAAGCTTACGAAGCAAGTTTGTGAAGGCCACGTGCACGGCTCCATGTGAACAGCCCGGCGTTCCAGGCACGCCAAAATTGTCCTTTTTGCCGCACACCTGACCCGAACAAATGGCGCCAATGTGTTTCTAGGACGAACCCTCTCTTCAGAGTCTGTGGCCTCTTGGTACTCGCCCTACTT